TTTTCAAAATGCTTTCATAGATGGCATTGTCGTCATTTGTATCGGCCTAATTAAATGTCTTTTTTATATTTTCCAATAATAAGCACTTAATATATTATTATTGTAAATTACACATATAAATTTTTTTTAAGTAAATTAAAAATAGCCGAACAAGCAAGTAATACTATTTCCAATAATACTTATGTATGAAGTGTTGTCATATTAAAAATAAATACATGTATTATCGATTTTTTTGAATAATCGATAACAGGATTTTATTACAGCGCATTATTCGATGATGCTTTTAATGAGTCGTTGTGAACAGTAAATTTTCATTATTATGTATTATAGCAGTGTTCCGTTTCAAAGAACGGAATATAGTAGTACATTATTAGTGTCGTTGGTTATTTACATTTGTACTGAATAATCGATTACATAATAATTTAAAATATCGAGTACGAATCGTAGCTGTCTTCGAATACTGGCAACTGGTAAGATTAAAATAGTATTTAAAAAAAAGAGAGAAATCGAACCTAACTCGAATACCATAAAGTTGATTTTCCTTTCTCATTAATATATCATAGCAGTTTGTTTTTAACTTGCGTATGACTCTGTGGTATGATGTTTAACGTGTATTGTTATTGTACGGTGCATACATTTCAAAAATTATATTTTAATGTAGGTACATACATTTCATACATGTCAAAAATTATCTTTTAATGTAGGTACATACATTTCTTTCATACATTTCATACATTTCAAAAATGAACTTTTTATGTAGGTACATACATTTCTTTCATACATCTCATATATTTAAAAAATTATATTTTAATGTAGGTACATACATTTCATACATGTCAAAAATTATCTTCTAATGTAGGTACATACATACATTTCTTTCATACATTTCATACATTTCAAAAATGAACTTGTAGGTACATACATTTCTTTCATACATCTCATACATTTCAAAAATTATATTTTAATGTAGGTACATACATTTCATACATGTCAAAAATTATCTTTTAATGTAGGTACATACATTTCTTTCATACATTTCATACATGTCAAAAATTATCTTCTAATGTAGGTACATACATACATTTCTTTCATACATTTCATACATTTCAAAAATGAACTTTTTATGTAGGTACATACATTTCTTTCATATATCTCATACATTTCAAAAATGATATTTTAATGTCAAAAATTATCTTTTAATGTAGGTACATACATTACTTTCATACATTTCAAAAATTATATTTTAATGTAGGTACATACATTTCTTTCATACATTTCATACATTTCAAAAATGAACTTGTAGGTACATACATTTCTTTCATACATCTCATACATTTCAAAAATTATATTTTAATGTAGGTACATACATTTCATACATGTCAAAAATTATCTTTTAATGTAGGTACATACATTTCTTTCATACATTTCATACATGTCAAAAATTATCTTCTAATGTAGGTACATACATACATTTCTTTCATACATTTCAAAAATGAACTTTTTATGTAGGTACATACATTTCTTTCATATATCTCATACATTTCAAAAATTATATTTTAATGTAGGTACATACATTACTTTCATACATTTAAAAAATTATATTTTAATGTAGGTACTACATTTCTTTCATACATTTCATACATGTCAAAAATTATCTTTTAATGTAGGTACATACATTTCTTTCATACATTTCATACATGTCAAAAATTATCTTCTAATGTAGGTACGTACATTTCTTTCATACATTTCATACATTTCAAAAATGAACTTTTTATGTAGGTACATACATTTCTTTCATACATCTCATACATTTCAAAAATTATATTTTAATGTAGGTACATACATTTTGTAGTGGGTATGTTGTACATTAACATATAACTATTATTGTAGAACTTGAAGGTAGGTCTATTAGTTAAATAAATCAGTTGTCATCCAAACGTTGTTTGATTCGATACACATACAACATGGTGTCAGGTGTGAAAACTAATTTTAGTAAAGTTAAAAAATATTAATATTGTTTTGCTTATGGTCAATTTGCTTATGGTGAATAATGACAAGTGAAAAGATGAGTTCAAGGCGCGATGATAGCGTATTTACGGCGATACAACAACCGGCACCGATGCAACAAGACGGGAATATGGCGACCAATTGGCGTGAATGGAAAATGGCATTCGATTGTTTCTTAATTGCTTCTGGAAAAGAATCCGCTTCGTCAAAGGAGAAGTGTGCACTTTTCATGCATGTTATTGGAAAATATGGAAGAGAAATTTTTGAAGAACTAGATATATCGGATATTGAATTTGATTATGAAAAATTATGCATTACGTTTGGTGAACACTGCGACCCAAAGAAAAATGTTAATTACGAACGGCACATATTTTTCGAAACATATCAAGCTGAAGATAATTTTGATAAATTTATTGGTGCCTTAAAAATAAAAAGCAAGAATTGTGAGTTTGGATTATTAAAAAACAGTTTAATATTAACTCAGTTGATACGTGGAATTAAAGATGCCCAAATGAGAGAAAAACTGTTGGCAAAATCATCGATGTCCTTGGATGAGGCAATACAGTGGTGTCGTGCAGCGGAACGTGCTACAGAACAGGCAGCGGCGTGTTGCAGTCGACAACCGAACATCAGTGTGGAGCAGATGACGAGGCAAACGAGGACTACTTCAGCACAACGCCAGTGGTACAACCCAGGTGCTAATGTCAGGACTCGCGGCGGTGATGGGAGGCTGGCTTCGTCGGGGAGGCGCGCGTTTGGACTACAACCGCAGTGGCGCAGCGGTGACAACGGAGCGGCTGGCCGCGGCCGGTATACAGGTTCACCTGTATGTACTAAATGTAATTTACTGCACAAGGTTAGTGATCGCTGTCCGGCTTTTTCAATGAGATGTTATCGTTGTGATAAAATCGGTCATTTCGCGAAATGTTGTAAAATAAAATTTACACATGAAGTGACAGAAGTAACTGACACCCCTGAGTACAAAGAGAATAATGAGTTGTTATTGTATAATATTAGTATAGACACTTTGTGTAAACAGTACGAGTCGTGGTATGAAAATGTTATAGTGAATGGTGTAAACTTATACTTTAAATTAGATAGTGGCGCCGATGCGTCTGTCATGTCTTTATTTTCTTATAATAATGCAGGATTTAAGGAATGTCAACTTAGTAAGTGTGCCACAGTATTAAGAGAAATAAGCAAAAATAAATTGCCCGTGATTGGTTACTTCGATGCTATGATACAATATAAACAACGTAGTTGTAAAGAAAGAATTTATGTGTTAGAAGTTAACTGCAATAATTTATTAAGTTTAAGGGCGTGTGTATGTCTAGAATTAATATTGCGGTCTAATGAATTATCTGTAAACGGTATGTACATTGATGAGTCAGTCTTTCAAGGTATGGGTTGTTTGCCGTCTGTTTGTAGAATCGTTATCGACGAAACCGTACCGCCCGTGGTAAATGCCACCCGTAAAATTCCTATTAAGTTGCGTCCTAGATTAAAACAGGAACTTGATAACATGGTAAAACAAAATATAATAATTAAAGAAGAGGGCCCAACCGACTGGGTATCGAATATTGTAGTAGTTGAGAAGCCTGATAAGTCATTACGTGTATGTTTGGATCCTAGGAATTTAAATAGAGCTATTAAACGAAGTCAATTTCTGCTGCCTACACTGGACGAAATTGCTAGTAATCTGTCTGGAGCTAAGTATTTCTCTAAATGCGATGCTAAGAAGGGCTTTTGGATGCAAAAATTGGATGATTGTAGTTCTAAGCTTTGTACGTTTAGCACGCCGTTCGGAAGGTATAGATTTTTAAGAATGCCGTTTGGTATTAATTCAGCTCCGGAAATATTCCATAATGAAATGTATAAAATATTTAAAATTGAGGGTGTCGAAGTTTACATAGACGACCTATTAATATGGGGTAAAACTCGTGAGGAACATGACTCACGATTAAGGGAGGTAATTCGTAGGGCTAAAGAAAACGGTGTAAAATTTAATAAAGAAAAATGTTTATTTGGTTCAAAACAAGTAACGTTTTTAGGTCATATTTTTAGTGCTAGTGGGATGCAACCAGACAATAATAGGGTCAAAGCTATACTGGATATTCCAACACCTATAGACAGAAAGGAACTAGAACGGTTTTTAGGCGTAACTAATTATTTGTCCCGATTTATACCTAATTATTCAGACATTGCATCTCCATTGCGCGAATTATTAAAAAAGAATATACTTTTCGAGTGGCTTGAGGTACATGAAAAATCATTTAGATTATTAAAAGATAAAATTAGCAGCGCCCCTGTATTACGTTATTATTCTCCGCACGAACCGGTTACTGTATCAGTGGATGCCAGTTCGCGCGGGCTGGGTGCATGCTTACTGCAGGGGGCAGCCGGTAGCATACGCGGCGCGCACACTTACACCGGCTGAGTCGAGATGGGCACAGATTGAAAAAGAAATGCTGGCCGTAGTTTTCGGATGCCTTAGGTTTCACCAATACGTTTACGGACACGATAAGGTTACAATCGAGAGTGACCACAAACCGTTAGAGGCCATTTTGAAAAAACAATTGAATGAAACTCCGGTCCGGCTTCAACGAATGCTATTAAAACTGCAACGTTATTCTGTACAATTAAAATATAAACCGGGTAGATTATTATATATAGCCGATACACTATCTCGCGCGGCAACGGATCGAAGTAGGGATGACGATGAAACGTATGATGAAGTGCTGATACATGTTAACACGTTATATGAAAATGTTGAAGCGAGTTCTATAATGTTAAATAAAATTAAAGAGGAATCAATAAAGGACGTGGTCTTAAATAAAGTTTCGGATTATTATTTTACAGGTTGGCCATCTAACAAAAGAGATGTAACTTCTTTAATAAAACCTTTTTGGAATGTTCACAATGAAATACATGTAGTTAATAGTATTTTATTCAAAGGGGATAGGGTTATTATACCAGATTCGTTGCGTAATGAAATGTTATCCCGGATACACGAGGGACATTTAGGTGTAGAAAAATGTCAGAGAAGAGCGCGTGAAGTCATATGGTGGCCGGGTATGTCTGCCGCCATTGAACGTGCGGTACTTAACTGTCAGACTTGCCAACGGCACCGCGCGGCCAACCCTCGCGAGCCGCTGGTGCCACATCCTATTCCTCGCCTACCCTGGGAAATCGTGGCGGCCGATATATTCGAGTTCAAAAATAAATACTATTTGTTAGTCGTAGATTACTACTCAAAATTTTTAGAAGTTACACAGATACCTAACTTACTCAGTTCATCGGTTATACATGTCATGAAAGATATTTTTAGTCGCTTTGGAATACCGGAAAAACTTGTTACTGATAACGGCACCCAATTTACGTCACAAGAATTTTGTAATTTTTCTAAGTCTTGGGAATTCAATCACGTGACTAGCTCGCCACTTTATCCCAGGTCAAATGGTCTCGCAGAGCGTAATGTACGAACTATAAAAACATTATTACTTAAATCTCACGAAAATGGTGAAGACTGGCATTTAGCGTTACTTAATTTTAGAAATACACCAATTACAGGGGAGGTTTATTCACCAGCACAGTTATTAATGAACCGCCGATTGAAAACCAAGCTACCTGCTACCGATAAGTTGTTAGAATCCAATCCAGTCTCTTATAATGATAACTTTAAATATAGATTAAATAATATTAAAAAAGGCAAAAAGTATTATGACCGTGGTACACGAAATTTAGTGCCAGTGTATCCCCACGAAAACGTACGCATGAGGCAGAAAAATGTATGGGTAAAGGCCGAGGTTAAAAAACAAGAGCATGGTAATCGTTCATACTGGTTGGAAACTGAAAATGGTGGAAGGTACCGTAGAAACCGTACGGATATTTTAAAATTACCTAATTCGAAAAGCGATTGCGTAATAAATCGTAAAGAGAATAATTATTATAGTAAGTATTTAGATTGGGACGATAGTGAGACGGTGCCATCAACGAGTTCATCCTTTCGCGTAACGGGACACGGCAACGAGGCCAAAACTCAGGAGGACAATACTCAGGGTGTTCAGGTACAGGTAAAAACTACGAGCAGCGGCCGCGTAGTAAGGTCACCCGAACGATTTGTTTGTCAATAGAAATATACAAGATGCGTAATAATACATACATATATACCTTCAACATATTAGGTAGCCCTAATTATGAATACTGATTCATCTGTGTGCATACAGTATATTATTGTATAATAAAAAAAAAAAAAAGAAAGCAAGTGTTGATTATAATGTGTTGCATGCATCAATTCAAATTAATTAAATTCATACATATTGTTATTTCATCAATGCTTAGTCTAATATTATAGTTATACTACAGCTCATTGATTACAGTTGATTCTAAAACATGTTTAATAACTATTTGATTTAAAATAATAAGATTTTAATAAAAATACGGGATAGTTAATAGTTTGTATGTTTTATAAATATTTGTAGCCACATTGTATACAGTGTACTCCTAATTTACATAAAAAAAATAATAATAATGTCTAGTGAATATAACTTTATTATTGTAGAGGGAAGATGTAGTGGGTATGTTGTACATTAACATATAACTATTATTGTAGAACTTGAAGGTAGGTCTATTAGTTAAATAAATCAGTTGTCATCCAAACGTTGTTTGATTCGATACACATACAACACATTTCTTTCATACATTTCAAAAATTATCTTTTAATGTAGGTACATACATTTCATACATTTCAAAAAGTATCTTTTAATGTAGGTACATAACACCCCATGTCAGACCCCTTGTATTTGGAAGAAACTTAAAAATAATGCCAAAAATATTAGATGAATATATTTTTAATACGAATATTGTTTTATTTTTGTTCATCAACTTTATCCCTCACTAACAATACTAGTAGTAGTACATAACCTGGTTTATACCGCTAAAGATATTGAAAGATATACGAGTAATTCAGAATGTTATCAAGTTCAAAATAAGCACACATTACTTGCTTAGATAACAGAGTAATATTACTCGTAATAAAAACATTTGTAACACCCATATGTATACTACGTATGTATAGTAAGTACTTACGCTGCGGCGCCGTGAGACTCGTCTACCTCATCTACTAACCAATAGGAGCGCGCCTCTCGTGTTTCCAGAAAGTTCGAGACTAACGGACGATATAGTAGTAAGGCAATGAGTGTCCCAGTGACATCATTATAATATTTTCTCATTAAATTTTATTGTAATATACACAATTTCGCACTAAATAACGTGTTACCCCGTTACACATTTCTAATAATGAAAAACCTAGACCAACCCTGTTCACTTAATCTTACAAGATCTGACTTTAAAAATTACGATATCCTCCTATAGCCTTTCATTTCCCCTTTCAATACTTTTTCGCATTAAAAAGTAGCCTTTCTCAGGGTCTACATTATCTGTCTACCAAATTTCAATTAAATCAGTTCAGTAGTTTTGGCGTGAAAGCGAGACAAACAGACAGACTGAGTTACTTTAGCATTTATAATATTTGTAAGAATATCGCTATTAAAAATAGGGGTTGGTGAAAGACGGGTGAAAATTTAGGCGTGTATGTATTTTCAATGTAACATTATAAATAAATAAAAAATTGTCCATAATACAAAAAAATATTTTTTCGGGGTAGGCCACCCCTATGACTTAGGGGTATAAAAAATAGATAACAACCCTACCTCAGACCTGGCAAGTATACATATCAAATTTCATCAAAATGTGGGAGAAATATGGCAACTAACACTGTGATACAAAATTTATATATAAGATATAGCGGAATTCTCATTAGGGAAAAGAGGGGTACATCGTAGAATACATGAGGTATATACCAGTAAATTAATTGTAGCTAAAACCAGTCTCTTACACATAACGATTGAAATAAAAAATCATATAGCCCGATTTTGATACGTACGAGTATAAAAGTATCAAAATCGGGCTATACGTATAGCGCAGACGCGTTACAACATATCAAAAAAATAGGCATGGAATGTAAAATAAACCATAACATAATAGGTATATACATTGGCACATAAGCCATATCTGCAGAGTGTCGGCTAACGATAATATACCTACACATTTACATTGAATCTTGAATCGTCCCTAATGAGGTACACGATACAGTTACCTACATATCTATTATATACATATCTTTGCAAAACAGATGTCATGTAGACTGAATTGACTGCCATCTATTTTCATGCTTTGTTACTAAGCACCCACTAGTAATCCGAACTGCTTCAGATCTAGCGACATCTACCGGCTACGGTGGCGAAATAAAATAGCCCGAAGAATAGCCCGAGTTAGGAAGGAACCATTTTCTTGTATGGGATGGGGTATCTGTATGTAATATTATGTTATCTGTGCTCATACTAAAACAAATAGAAATTCGTCGAGGTTACACCTCATCAAAAGCACCAACAGCGCACGTTCACACAGGCAGCAGTAGGTACACAATTTATATATTTGAAATTAATTTCTACAAGGTTCCACTGAAAATCTGAGATCTGCTGAGTGGAAACAAATTTGGTCGCAGCTGTATTTTTAAAATAATTAATTATAATGTTTGTGTGATTGTTTTGTATGCGCCAAATAAATATATTTTTCTTTCTTTCTAAGTCGTCAATTTGACGTAAATATAATAGATGAAATCATACTATCGCAGTCGTATTTCGACCCTGACTTAGTATTAGCGGAATCACAAGAACAACAGCATTTCCAGTAATTTCTCATTTGAAATAGTGAAAACTCGATCAAATATTTATTTATCAACAAAATATAAAAGAAGGAAAATATTGCAGTAGAAACTTAAAATCAAATATTGAAGTCCCAACGAAACTTGGCCTTTCTTTCCAACTCCAACTGGAAGTTATGATTTTTATAACGTTCAAGTGAGCTGGTATTTTATCTGTAAAGTTCACTTTTGTTCGTAGCACTACCTGCAAAGTTTCTTTCTATTAAAAAGTGCAGAGGGCAAAGATAATTGCGCTATCCACTTTAGAATATCTTGGATCCTCTGAATATTCTTTTACAGAGACCGAGTCGGGATGTAACAGGAATCGTTGATGGTTAAAAGCACTGAGTAATAATTAGCCTTTTTAAATTATGCATCGTTAAGTTTCGCATAATTATGAATAATAAGAAAGAGATTACTTTGAACAATCAGTCTGAATTAAAAAGTAAAGCTATCGCATATCATTTAATTGAATGCTATACAATTTTAGTTGTTATTTATTTTTAATAAATCATTTATTTTGAGATTTGTAGACAATTAGTTATAAATATATAGATGATTAAGTACTGTATTATCAAAAAGTTAGGATCTTTTTTCAAAATACCTACCTATTGCACACACGAATTGCATCACAGATATTTCGTGACATCACGGTTCACTGCACACACACGAATTGCATCACAGATATTTCCTGATATCGCGGTTCACGTAGCTCAAATATACAATTAAATAAGTACTGTATTATTAACATATTAGGTTTCTTTTCAACCGAACTGCCTAATGCTAAGTGCCTACTACGCAAGAATTGTATTTCGTTGTAAAATCTGTATTAGCCCTTATGCATTCCCATATCGAAGGACTAAGTATCTTAGTACTCTGTAATTTGACTAAATATCCCACTCTACGACCGAAACACGTGTTACAAATCAAGCTACTTGGCGACGAAATGGATGAGACAGAGACTTTTTGGGCAAAGTGGACTTTATCTACCTTACTATATGAATGCATTTACCTTGCAACGCTTTATTACATTAGTGAGAACTTACCTTTATAAACTCAATGAGACAATGCAGGCCAGTTATTATAAATTGTACAGACGTTCTTGCATCAGTCGACAAAGTTACAAGGTAAAACTTTCTTCCTGTAGCGGTGTATTTCTGCTTTGTTTCTTTGTCGGCTTTTGTAATAGACTGGGGATCAGTCAATATACTAAACTTATTATCTTGCCCGCGGCTTTGTCTGATGTGCACGTGACTGGGGTAAAAAATGTGATGGTGAAGACTGTAGCGAACCATTGATAATTTTTTATACTATTTTTAAATTTTATTATTAATACTAGCTGTCCTGGCAAACGTTGTTTAGCCATATAAATTGATAACGCTATAAAAAAATAGGGGTTGATGATAGAAGGGTGAAAATTTAGAATTGTATGTATTTTTGTATGTTGTATCATAAAAAAAAATAGAAACTATAAATTTTGTCTAAAAAATTAAAAATAAAATTTAGGGGTGGACTACCCCTAACATTTAGGAGATGAAAAATAGATGTTGGCCGATTCTCAGACCTACTCAATACGCTCACAAAAATTTCATGAGAATCGGTCAAGCCGTTTCGGAGGAGTATGGGAACGAAAACTGTGACACGAGAATTTTATATATAAGATATTCTTTATTGTTACTTTCTATTATATATCGCTGTCATACAAGTCGCATTTTATTTTATCTCCGTATATTCCTTATTAAAACCCTCAGGACCTCTCACTCATCAGACACATTAGATACCTCCGCTTCAAAGACCAATGTTCTTTTTTATTATAAATTCTATAAATATGGCAAAATTGATTATGGTTGCTCATGCAGTTTCTTATGAAATGACAAACAATCTAACAGTCTACCTGATTGTAAAAGGTATCCATCGCCAATATACGTAAACAGTAACCCTTGCAGGGAGGAAGGTAATTGTCATTTTTTTTTTAATATTAATCTATTTAGTACAGATTGGTACAATTATTATAATTCTCGTGTTGTTATTATTCCCTAGTAGCTACTCGCCCCGGCTTAGCCCGGGTGTACATGTATTATATATATGAACCTTCCTCTTGAATCACTCTATCTATTAAAAAAAACCGCTTCGAAATCCGTTGCGTAGTTTTAAAGATTTAAGCATACATTGGGACAGACAGCGACAGCGACTTTATTTTATACTATGTAATGATGATGACTCGTCAAACTGTCTGCAGTTTGTTAGCAAGATATAGCTCATATTTATTAATACTAATACTTACCTATCTAGATATATCTATGCACATAAATACACATTTATACAGATGGTTTGCGGAGAACCGCTTTGAGGTCAATGTGACCTCAAAGC